GATGGCCTAATCCGAATTTTCCAATTATATGTTTAGTTGATGGTTCCTGTCCGCCTGTTCGAGCGTTCCAGTCTCCCGCCACGATGAGTGCATCTCTCTTGGGGATGCGATTTACTACCTCCTGGAGGCTGTCGTAGAACTCGTCTTTCACTACGCCGTCGGATGGTAGAGTAGGGGCGTAGACTGCTACCACGGTGAGGTTGGTGAGATTACCTTTGAAGCGAGCTACAGCGATCCTTGCCGATATTGGTTCCCAAGAGAGTAAGGCAGCGTTGGCGCGTTGGTGCGCTGGCTCAGCGCAATCGCAACTCCATGTTGACCTGAATTTTCTGAGCCACTATGGTAAAAAAGTAGTGGCTATTCAGAAGGGGGACTTTAATGCTACGCGAGCCGGAGCCAGCTAATCGCACTTCGGATAAACATGCAACATCTACGCGGTAGTCGTGTAAAGTGCGTATGGCTACTGTTTGACTCCCGATGTCCATGAGGGTCCTGACGTTCCAGCATCCCACGTATAGGTGCTTTCTAAGTCGGATAGGTTGAAGAAGTTCAGTTCGCATTCTTGACACCCCGACCACTGGAGGAGCGCGGGGCTCGTCGCTTGCCGGGGACGCCGTAGCATGGGTAACAAAGCCTGTAGTAGACATAATCATGAAGGTACTTGGGAGTTTGGTACGAGAAACGTCCCCAGCGTCACTTGGCGTTTATTTTGAGGGCGCACCTCTAACCTTTGCACATTCAAGTGCGAACTGCAAGGCAGCAGGAAGTAGACCCTCATCTCGCAAGTGAGGGGGTCAATGACTTTAGTTTTAAAAGGCTTGTCACATCGGCCTTCGTCACGACACCGTCATTGGGCTTATGCAGCCTTTGACCAGGAGCCAAGTGACCAGCGTAAAACCCACCACACCCTGGTAGTGCCGCCGCTGTTTGTTCGCGGCTGCTTATTTGTTGCAGTGTACTACAACTTATTCACAGCTAACCTTCTTCGGAGAAGGTATACCCCTATCCACAACCCGGGGACGCGCCTGGTAGCATTCTGCTCTGCTTCCTTCCATTTTTCGTTTCCGCACACTCCCAGTCACACGACAACTGACGAGGAAGCCACCAACGGTTGGATTAAATTTCTTTTTATTTTTTTTCCCTGATCGCTGTATAAACGACGGCCCACTGTGATAAACTTTTCGACCAAATGTCCTCATTCATCATTCAATCGTGTCCTGTTAATCAACCCTCGTTTTTCATGTGAGCAGTGTGTCACACACAGTGGCATACTTTTTGTAAAATAAAAACACCAAGTTGCTTTTAAGTTACCAAAGAACACCATACTTGATGCATACTATATCAGGCCAGTAAAATACGGTAGATTTAATATTTTTTCATTTTCACACACGTCTGAGTCCAAACTGTGTCAAATAAATCATGGTACAATAATCTTTATAAAAAGAAAAACGCTCTATGATTTGCATGTGGGCCGAATACTGCCCAGGCCTAGGCAGGTGAATTTTTTTCAGAAACCCACAACCGGAGCCTTTGGATAACCAAAGCCTGACACGTAAGGCAGCAGGGTGGTGTGCGAAAAGCGCAATCCATTGGGAGCCGGTATCCAGTTCATCGGATCATACGCCGTTTGGACGAGGTCAAACGTCCAAGGTGCCCAATACACCTCGATACGGTTAAATAAGAGAATGATCCATTTTGCTGCCTTTCCTGTATCTAATCATACAATTTTTCCTGTGAAGCCGCCTGACTAGGTGTCTGTCCAACCGCTTTCATGAGCACCAGTCAGCGTAGCTATGAAGCAGGTTAGTTCGATTCATCACCAGTGCGGATGTTACACCTTGTTGACACTAATCACACCGTAAACGTGATCGAATCGTATCGATCTGTGTACATTAGTGAAACGGACGGTATGGACACAAGCGGTTTCGTATTCTAATCATAGCAGAAACAGCCAGCCTCCGTGTTGGCAACCCGCACCATGTGCTCTAAATAATTAGAAATGTTTCAGCTTCGGTGACTATACTGCCGATGAACGGCCCGTTCCGAAGCAGGCAAACAAATGGTGATTCACTCAAAATGTAACCCACACCTAAGTTTTGGAATGATTATGTTCCACTGTTTTAGACATTCACGACAGTTTTCCGTTCCATCTGTAGCCTCGTGTATTCTACTGTTCTGTGTTGGCATGATTGTTAGACAGTGGAAACGACCGTGTTTACCATCCTGTTCTGTGGGCCTGTTCAGGCAAATTTGTACCACTCCTTTTCATTACTCGCAAGTAGTAAATTAATAACAACGACTTTTGTGCATCACATTCGTGTTTCCATCCGAAACAGACAAAGAAACGCAGACTGGATGACGCACGTTCCGGTCCCTATTAACCGACCTTTCCCATTATTTTTTGTATGACAACCCTTTGATTGGCCGCTTCCTCTTTAAAAATGGTACCTTTGTGTATTTAATAAAAGAAAGGGAAAAAGAACACTGCGTCACTTCGTTGATTTTCATAGGATTACGCGACGGAAAAAATAACTGATTTACTCCTTGTGTTGGACCGAGGAATGCAGCATCATTTGAGGTTAAGTTTAAGGTAAAGTGTTGAGTTCAGTTCAATTTTTGCAACCATTAACCCTGCACTTTCGTGCGCCGGTTTTGGTTGTTGTCTTTGGATAAAAGAACAGAATAAAGATTGGAATGTTGAAAGCAAATTCAAACGGAAGATGGAGAATTCATATAGAATAGTGACAGGGAAATAATAAGTGGATGCACGGACGCCACTCTTTTCGACATCCAGCCATATCACTCAGTGTCTTTAACCATCGGGTTCGATCATTCCGAGGTCCCCAGCCAGGGAGCCTAACGGGGCCCATATGACCTAGTCTCCTGGTTAGGGTTTACATACCCTCATGCTAGGTCTTAGTTTAATCACCCTTGATCCTTTTCCAACCGCTACCAGCTTTTGAAAACATCGCTCGCCGTGGTAACCTATCTGGTGACGTGCGTAACACATGCCTCAAACAGCGTAATCTATGGAGGTTGATCACTTCGTCCAGTGGACGACCGCGACTGCCTACAACTCTGCTCGTATGGTTACCCCACCAGACTTGTGCAATAGGACGTAGACAGCGGTGTTTGAATACCGATAATCTATTTTTATCCTGTTCCCGTAGAG